TTTTTTTTTCTCCTACCGTGCAGCCATGGATCGGGAGTTCTCGGCAGAAAACCCGCATCGGTAGTAATACGGAGTTACGGTTGTGGACATCCATCTGTGTGCTGCGTCAGAAACTCTGGGGTAACTTAAGACAGTAAACAGTATACTTATCAAGATGATTGGTATTCGATGACAACAGATAACTCCACAACTGATATATACGCCGGAGTAGTTATATGTACTGTGTATAATTATGCATATATGGTAGTGTGTTAAGCTTGTCACCAATCATTTTATAATCCAGTGAGCGACTCCGTAGCTCTAGCAGTATCTGTCATATTTGATTATGTCCACCATCGTGAATTATGCTTCATATATGCACAACTTGCATTGTCAGTGGATGCTACTCTATATTCTTGGGTTCCGACTGTAGCAAACACAACTGTCCACCCCTGTAATAGTGTGGCTTTGTCGTCTTGAATGCTGACGTAGGAGACCTTAATTGAGACATGTGCAAAGCATACTAAATAGGTAACTCACGGAACCTATGTACAGTCACCAGCTCCCAGCCACGTTGGATATTAAACATAAGCCACACCGCTGTCTTAATTCTTCACAATCCCATTACTCAACGGCAACATCGCGGAATATGGTTGAGCTTCGAAAGCGCAAAGCGCCAACTCAATTACCTGTGGCAGAGAAAAGGGCCAGAAAAGGCCAACGGTCAACCGCTGTACCAAAAGGCGTGCCTCGGGAGAAAGGGTCATCCACGGTCTCAGGAGAAGTTCCCAAAGTTGGCAACAAAATTACTTTGGATGGTTTTGGTGGAGAGATTGAAACAAACGATGGCATAAAAACAACACTTAGTGAATTGGTCGATGGGAGCAAATCAGGTGTGGTGCTCTTTACATACCCTAGAGCCTCAACCCCCGGTTGTAAGTCAAACAATCGCTTGGTTGTTATTATGTTTATCCCATATCAATTGCCTTTCTTTCCTCTTTCTCTCTGTCTCTCTCTCTCTCTCTTTTTTTAATTCAAAATCCTGCCTCTCTTTCATTCACTCCCCATCCCAGTTCTTGTTGTGGTCTAGTCGCCATTCATGATATCTTCTCTAGGAAACAAAGCTCATATTCTACTAGGTACAAAGCAAGCCTGTATGTTTCGCGACAACTATGACTATCTGACTTCGACCGGGTTCTCCATTTATGGACTGTCCACGGATTCGCCAAGGGCAAACACTACCTTCAAAACCAAACAAAGTCTACCCTATTCTCTTCTCTGCGATACTGCATCCTCACTGATTGCGGCTCTGGGGTTCAAAAAGACACCCAAAGGAACAACAAGGGGCATTTTCGCTGTAGATAAGGAAGGCACTGTTCTGCTACTGCAGCCTGGTGGTCCCGATGCCACGGTGGAGGCCATTCGGCAATTGATTGCAAGGAACTCCAGTGGTAACGATTCAGAGTCAGGTATCTGACAGCTTCAGTCACCAGTCAGGCAACCAGAAGGACAGCGACCATAGGAGTAGAACTACTTGTGGTTTTTGTCTCCTTCGAAGTAGCTCTCTACCAAATGACTGCGGTTACGGCCGAGTCTATATCATTCGTTTCTAATAAACAAAGTATGTAAAGCATTGTGTCTGGTCAGTACTCCGTAGTAATGTTTCTCAACGTTAGCCTGTTTAGAAAGGCTTGGCAAGCGGCCCTAATAATTCAAGTAACGATGTCAATCACCCTTGCAATAATCGTTTTATTTTATTTTAAATTTTTGGTTAAGTCTTTCATAAAACCATCGCCCCCGTTGCTATTCAATGGACTTAGATATACAGTATTCAATCTGTACTCATCAATAACCTTCGCGCTATTGGCTCAGCCGTAGGGGGCGGAAATATAGTTGTTCCGTACACGGCGACGTTTCTAACCTGGCAGCTTGATTACACCACAAGACGACAATTGACCCAATCCATTCAGATATTGTTTTTGTCTTGGGAAAGGTATAAAACAGAAATTCACTATTTCCCCTCTACCTCATTGAGTAATAATTCTGAGAAACTTATGAAGCTAATTCATCAGCACAGAGTGCATCCCATTATGGCTCGTGAGATTCTCAAAGCGGCGAAGTCCGCATCGAATGTCATCGCTGTGCACAAGGTAAAGAACTCTAACATACATTTCAGACTTAGGTGTTATCTAAACTCTCTTCCCACCAGAAATACACACTTCAGTCCACTGGCGTTTGGGAGCGTCTTCGCCGCCTTCTTTCGATTGATCCCAATCGCTCAACAGGTGTTCCATTGAATGCCCAATATCGTCTACCCACCCCTGGAGCTCTTCCTCCTCTTTCCTACGATGACCCAGTTACCATTCCGGCTGGTGATATTGCGGACAACCCCTATTGGAAGCGGGATGTTCGGAGGAGCTACCCTAAGCTTAGCACCGTGAGCCAAGCAGATGCTGTCGGTCTTCTCACCGTAGGCAGCCAGGCAGCACCAAAGGATGATATCCTACAGATTGGTGAAGCAGGAGAGAAGCAACTTATTTCTGTCAAGCAGCAGGGCGAAGAACGCGGTCTGGCCGGCCTTTTTGAGACAAACAAGAAGGGCATTCAGGGTGTCTTGAAGGCCAATGGTTTGCCGCCGAAGCCTTGCAATCTGAACCCGTCAGGCTCCAAGTATCAGCTTGATCATGACCATGGTTACCCCAACGTGTACGTCGACCTCCATCGTAACGTGTTCTAAACTAACCATTTAAAAAAGATATCCCTGTCGCACATTTATATGATGAAGCCACCCAAGTTAGAGATTGAATATATTGCATTCTTTTTGCCTTCCACACTCCCTACTCTCTTATTACTGTTCAGTTTTTTTTGCTTTCCAAACGTGCTCAGGACGAAAAGTAGTTGTATATGGAAATCCATGGGTAAGCAACACTAGTATTCCCCGCTTCTGTGACTTTTAGTTTCTTTTCTTTCATGGGCGTTGGACATATGCATATTTGCTTAACATCAGAAGATGGCGAACTGCTCATAGCGGAGGGGATACAGATAATTATTGCCTACTTAGTAGCCAGACCAGGCCCCTCAGAATAACATTGTCCTGGTCTTTGGAATATTTTAGTATCTTCAAGCTATGGACCCCCTATTGCAATATTTTTGTCATTCTTTATAGTTATAAATTACTGAATCCATGTACCTATTTTTCCAAATTACTACATTAATACCACGAATGACACCAGAACATGTATTGAGCACACTAATGAACCGTGTCTACAACGTTGGATGGCCTCTCAAGTAAATGTCATGTTCAAGCATAGCAGAACTCTTAATCAAAAGGATTCGTACGTGTGCCCCACCAAGTAAGGAACAAGCTAAGCCCGACTGTCTCGAAGACTCTGCTCACTGCACCTACAGCAACTGTATCTAAAGGCCGCTTCTCGGTGAAAATTTGGCTGATGAACTATCATCTGATGTTAGCACAACAGTCCTATAAGCAATCAGGGATTGCAATAACACATACACTTGGGGCAGAGCTAGCCATGAAAATCAGACTTCCCAGGTACGCCGCGCCCTTATAGCTCAGCGTCCCGGTTGCGTTAATCAGAGCAGCCACCCCATAAGTTTGCATGGCACTTCCGATCAACGAGCTGCCCCAGGCTGCGGCAGCCCCGGCAGCCTCCTTGGATTTGATAAATTCCTCTTTCGAGTTAGCGGCCTGGGCGCGATGGTAGGTGTCACCGAAGACTGGCGCCAGTATGCCCAAGGACGCGGTGTGTGTGAAGAACGTGCCCATAGCAATAGCAGAAGGCTTTACAGGCGGCAGATCTTGTAGTTACTGGTTAGCGCTCGGCAGTGAGGAATAGGAGAAGATGGTCGTCAGTACTCACAGTGAAGAGTCGTCATGGTGTCAAAGTGCAAGCAGAAAGCCTAGCCTACAGTCGAAGTCAAACAAAAGTTCTGAATAATGCTGGGGACAATCTGAGCTTATAGTGAAATTCAAGCAAGTATGGGTGCTTTCTCGAGAAGGATGGCTAGTGGAACAGGACGGCCCTTTTCTAAAGCTCAGGAAACAGGTCACATGTTGTTGCCGTCACATAGTGCTAGGGAAATACAAGGTGTTAGGTGACGTCGTCATGATCCAAGGACATAGGAAGAACTTGGATTCAATGGCTAATAGTTTGGCGAGCCAATCACTCGGCGTTGCCGGATCAGCGGGTACCTACGCAGTAGGAACTGCTACTAGTAGTACTGTGGTATGTAGTAGTACTAGTTAAGTATAACACTACAAGTATGCGTTAATGTGGGGGTGAAGCACCATGACGTCAGCTGACGGATGAGAGAAGCTTTAATTCTAGAACACTTTCCAAATGATCTGAGCTTGGGCCATTATAGAACAAGACATATGTACTAATATGCGGATTCTGTTGCTGGATATTCCTTTGGCTATGAATCTGAATAATAGGATAGATACTTTTTGTATGTACTTTAATAGCAGCCCCTGGTCTTTGCTTGGACATTGAACTGATTAGAACACCTCCAACTATTCAGGTTACATAACAAGACTAGTAGGCCTAGACTGACAGGGAAGAGATTTCTTTCATACAGTACATTTTGAAGAAACCTGTTACTGATTATTAAGCATTATTTATCCTTGGTCTGACCACTACTACATAGAACCTTGGTTTATGCAAGACCATTACCGCTAGTACTAAAGAATCGAATTACTATGTATCCATGATGCTTGCTACTAAAACTAAGTTATAATTACTACATAGTTAACTACCTAGTTAATTACTGCGTAGTTTGAGAGTACAGGACCATACTAATAACTATTCATTCCAGGTTTTAAACTACCAACAATCATGCCAAGGCGGTATCATTATATCTTTCCAAAAGTACTCCATGCACTAGCTGTATTATTTAATAGACACAGTAATTTTATTCTAGGTGGCCAGACAACGGTACAATACTCTATATATACGCATACACACATTTAATTTATCCTTACTTTCCATTTGTTTCAAATGTTCATACCTCAACATTTGGGATCATGCTATTACAGAGCAACAATGAGTATTGATAGTATGTAGGTTTTATGTTCAGTCTAATTGGTGCTTTCCTGCCCTAACCCACTACCCCGTAATCAAGCTGTATTCCTACAATTTGCATAGCAACAAATATTCTCTTTTTTGGGTACCCGCTCATTTATGTTTCTCTCCCTTGAGCCTTTCTTTCTGTACTGCCTATTGGAAACGACATTCTTCGTTTGAGAGACCAAAATCAAAACAGTACGGCTCCTGTGTGAGTGCAGTCCTTGTTACTAGCTCTATGATTGTGATTTTTCTATGTTGAGCATGATGGAAAGTTCCAATTCTCCCGACCAACAATCAGGGCTCAGTGATTCTTTCGATGTTAGCGAGTCGCTTGTGCCAGCAAGAGATCTCAAAAGAGTTAGCTACGCCGAAATATCATTTGACGGCCTACTGAAAGAACCCCTAATACTCAAGGAAGATCTTAAGGAAGGATGCGGAGGCCAGCTATGGCCGGCAGGCATGGTCTTAGCAAGATATTTGTTACATCAGCATCGATCTGACTTTAACAATAAGGCAATGTTCGTCCAGCATCTAAGTTTCAATGAAAACGAAGGGGTTTATGGTACTGACTTGCATTGTTAGAGTCGAGTTGGGAGCTGGCGGAGGTCTCGTTGGACTTGCTGTTGCACGCGGTTGCGACATGGGGTCGTCATCAGTATACATCACGGACCAAGCACCAATGCTCCCACTAATGGAGGCCAACATCAAGCTGAACAACCTTTCCTCTCGCGTTGCTGCCACGGTGCTAAACTGGGGGGATTCCCTTCCGGATTGTATTCCGACACACCCCGCTATCGTACTTGCTGCGGATTGTGTCTATTTTGAGCCGGCCTTTGCTTTGCTGATATCTACTCTCAAAAACCTCCTGGGTCCGGAATCTATTTGTTATTTCTGCTTCAAGAGACGTAGACGAGCAGATCTCCGTTTTATGAAATTGGCGAAGAAGCTATTCGACATCGTCGAGGTTTGCGATGACCCGATGGCGGAGACTTACAAGCGAGAAAACATTTTTCTCTATTCAATACGTTTGAAATCGGGCACGCCTGTCTAAAAGGATGAAGAAAGAGGTAATTGAAGGGAACAAGAAAGGCGTTTAAGTGAGAGTAGATATGTACGTGGGCAATAGATCGATAAAATCGGGAACTCGAATAAATCAAGACCAATCCTCGGTTACCTATACTGTACATAAGATTATATGAGATAAAAATCAATTACAGCTTTAGTGCATCAGCACCACTCCTTGGACCTGTTCCAGTTGGTTTTTGGCCATGGATATCTGTGACTTCTCCTTGCTTTCCAATCAACTTAACACCACCCTTTTTCAAATCAGACACAATTTGTTGCTTCTCAGCTGCCTTTCCTGGCTGTCGGGTTTTAAGGCCGGTGGTAGATTTCTTTTGCTTCTTGTGTTGTCGCCTTAATCTTGACTTCTCCTCACGGGTCATTTCTTCTCTGGAGATTGATAATCCGTTCCTCAAAACGACTTCCCCGGAAGCTTTGCCATCAGCCCCGGGTGTATAGATCTCCTGCGGGGCAAGAGTTGCTGCACTGCCAACAGCACCTCCAGCTGTTGGTTGCGCATCCTCCATCATGATAGCTGCCACATCAGTAACGACGTTGATGTGTGCGTGTGGGGTTTGGGGCTTATAGTGCCAGTTTGAGAGGGTATCCAATTGAGAACTTATTTCTTTCCATAGAGTACTGATCTCAGCGTGTTCGCGCATAAGCTTCTGATTCTTAGGATCCACATAGTTAGGATCAGTAGCTCGGAGATGATCAGTCTCATAGAGCTCTGCAAGGCTCTGTTGAGCTTTAGAATCCTCAAGCTCGAAGTGGCTCTTTCTCGCAATCTGGCCATCAGTGATACCAGGACGGCGGCGGATAACTTCATCGAACTCCCTGGCCAGGATCCGGCGCTTGACGAGGCCTTCGATATCTTCAGAGACCTCCGCAGTTACCACAGGTACGGGCTTTCCAATTCTTTCCACTTCAAGATCTTCCTCAATAAGCGAATTTACGGGTCTCTCAGCAGCTCTAGCTTCACCAGCAAGCATCCATTCTTTCTTTGCAACGCTGGCAGCTTCCAGGCGACGAATCTCATCGGCGATTCGTGCACGTTGTTTCTCGTGTGTGGATTTCTGGGTTTCAGGTTCACCTAGTTCGCCATCATCTACATCACTGTTCTCAATTGAAGCATCATCCTCGAAGAGATCGCGTCGTACATCGGCCATTGCACGATCTATATCGTTACTGTTGATTGTAGCAACTGGCTGGGTTTTTGGGAGAGGACGTGACCTTTTGGTTGTAGACTTTCGGGGTGGCGGCGCAAAAAAGTCGGAATATTTGATATCACTAGTATTGATCCAATCCGCTCCATGTACAGTACCAGGATCTGCATCATCTGAATCTGAGTCTAGCCCATCATGAAGATTGACATTGTTGAATATTGGCCCTTCCTCATCGCTTGCGTCATCATCATCCACACCCTTGTTGGTCTCATTTGATGATGGCGTTTTCTTCGAAGGAGCGCCACTAGGAACAGTGGTGAGGGGATCAGCATGCCAGTCAACTTCTTCGTCACTCTCAGATTCATTATCTGGGCCACCCCGAGTGTCTTGGCTTTCCCATAGTTCTGATTGTTTGTTGAAGTCATCAATTGAGAAAAATCCATCATTCAACCCAAAAGGGTCTTCTTTGTACGTGTCGGGTTGTTCTCCATCACTGCCAGTTTCACTGAAGTTATTTTTCTCGTCCAGAATCTCGTCAATGCTTCGGGCGTCCAGTGCATCATGTGCCGTGTCGCTTTGGTCGAGATCCGACGCCATACTGACTTCCTCGTCGACATCTGACGTATTCCTGGTACCTTCTATATGACTGTCCAGCTCGCTGTCTTCGGAGCTTTCATCCGCAAAATCCGAGCCCTCGAAAGGTGTGAATTGTTCCTCCGATGTGGAGTGGTCAGCATGTCGAATAGTTAACGTACAATCACGTTGGACTTCCTGTCCGGCTGAGTCAAGGATTCTAAGTGCTTGTTCCCAGATTTGATCAGAGCCGAACCCCTCCACGAATAACTGCTTCAATTGCAATACATCGGTGTTTTGGTCTAGGTCTTCCTCGCCTCTTTTGCGTTTCCTATTTTGTCGTTGGCGAACCGACTGGGCGTCACTAATCGAAAGAGCAAGAGGGTCCAGGAAATGTTTTGCTGATCCTACTAGGGTGTCGTTTAGTTCTGATGTGGGACAGAGAAACGCCCAGGGAGCAGATAATGCTGCGTTGAGGGCAGGATCCGTTGCAAAACCAGCCATGGCACCGTGACGGTCCGAAGTGCCGTGAGACCAAAAGAATATGTAGGTGTCTGTAGGTGGTTGAGCGGATATGGGGAGTGTGTATTCAATGTAGAAAGAGAAGAAGCCGATTTGATTCTCGTAAAAAAAAATGTAAATCCATCCAATCTTGATCAATTGCAATTTAACCGCCGGAAGCATGAGGGATAAGGAAGAAAAAAGAAAAAGAAAAATATTAAACTGACCGCCTACCACATTCGAATAAACCCATACGCTCTCTGGACACCTGACATGAGTGGTTTAGTCCATGCGTGTGCATTACTAGTACAATCTAAGTATACAGAGTAGACATATTTGCACTCGTGCCTTTATATACTAGTGGCAATGTTGCAATATCCGTTATCCCTAGATAATACCGAGTTTCTGGTCCACAGGTCGCTTCAGGAACACACGAGGTGGACAGTGTGACCGATTAGGACAACCTTAGGGTAAATGCTCTACAGTGGGATGTCAAAAGTTTGAAACCTTCCATTTATTGCCCAGTTTAACCGCTTTTCTAATTGTCCTATTGTACAGGGCAGGAACCTTGTAAACTCTATCCCTAAGGTAGGTTTTAATACTTACTATACCGGCTATCAAAATTTAATAACTTTTAATACCTGATATCTATCTCCTCTGTAGAAGCTATAATTAATATGTAGATAGATATTAGCGGAGTATGTAGGCTCAATGCACTGAATTTGGTAGATTGAAATATGGCGGTATATAGGGCGGTCAAGCGAATGATTTCAAACTTTTGACATCCCACTGTATATACCCTGTTTATCTCGTACAACATACATAGTATCGGCACCTTAGTCTCTACACCGCGCCCTACCTCAACCTCCTTCTGGGGCTTTATAAAACAGATAGAGTAACTAACTATATATACTGAATTTAGGGCCGCGGCATAGATAGGTCGTCACGAGCTCAAGGTAGAGTAGTATACTATGCATCCTTATTCCAGTAGATCTACAGTTATATGATCTTAGTTTAATAATATACTACTAATTTACCATTGGCCATATATACAATGTTAGACTGCAGACTAGTGACCGTTGATATACATCTTCATAGACATTAGTGATAAGTATTTTGTTAAACTACTACCCTTTTAGACTAGACTTAATCTTAATCATATCATCGGCCAACGCTTTCAAATAGGCAATAAAGGTATCAAGTTTTCAGAAGGGGTGGCCGAGTCCAAAAGAAGTGTCTTTCTTGATACAACATTCGTAGTATGGAAGTACGTACACACATTCCAGGGCAGGTTCGTGATGGTGTATGTACAGTACAATAAATACCAATCCCGAGCTAGAAATCACTAGATACTATTACAGTCTTCTGGACATCATACCGACAGTACTAGTCACCCAGTGCTCCATACAATTGATATTGTCAAGTCGAGGGCGGAATAATATGATAATGTGGTAAAAATGAATCGCCATCCATAGTGTTGGTTCACTTCGTACACTGTCTTTGCTCGGAGTAACACTACTGAAGACTGATATTATACAAACAATAGGCAGCAATTGGACCAGTGCTTGACTTTAAGCATGGTAGATTGCAGTCGAGGATGCCGAAGGGGAAAGATTCCATACAGAGTACGAGGAAGCCTCTACTTGAACTACAGTATAAATATACCTGGTAGTGGGGTAGTTTTAGCTTGGTTCGGACACCACTCTCAAATGCACTGAGATCAGGCTCCTTCAAACCCTCAACCACCACAATCATAGATCTACAATGAAAATGAAAATCGAAAGAAATGCAACTTTGTGAAGTAGGTTAAGCAATCGAGTAAGAAGAGAGGACTCTCCAGACTTGTCATGTACGTTGAGGAGACGTCACTCTGACGCACTTGTTAGCATGACGATATAGTAGTTTCGAGGATATTTAATGCATGGTAACCCTGAATATACTCAGTTATATATCCAGGTAATTCCAACCTTCTCAATTAGAAATATCTCCTACTGTGCCTTCTCATCCTACCCAACCAGTACCTTAAGGTCAAGTTGCAGCCTAAATCATGCAAGAATACACAGAAAGAGCCGCTCGTGGCACTGAATCCCAGTTTCAACCAGGTAAGTCTGTACTCCACGGAGTCTATCGAACTAGGTCACTCATCGGTTATCCCAGGCCATCAAATCCCTGTTCAACATCAGGAGAAGCCTGGGCTACAGGAAGAACTAGAGGACCCCAAACCGGTATCAACACACATACCGACTGTGGAAGGAAGTTATGAGACATATAAGGCAGCAGGAAAGCTTGCTGGGAAAAGAGCCATCATTACAGGTGGTGACTCTGGAATTGGCCGCGCCGTTGCTATTTTGTTTGCAATGGAAGGAGCATCCAGCTTGATTATCTACTTACCAGAAGAGGAGATAGACGCACAAGAGACAAAAAGGAGGGTTCAGGACACAGGAAATGACTGTCACTGCTTAGCTGTGGATGTCCGCAAGAAGGAAAATTGTCGAAAAGTGGTTGATACTGCTGTGCAATGTATGGGTGGCATAGACATCTTGGTGAACAACGCGGGATTCCAGAATATGGTTGGGGACATTAGTGACCTTGAAGAGTAAGTGGAAAACTACCTGTGGCTACATCGTAACACGGTTACTTCGCTACCCGACAGTCAATGTTAAAGCCATCAAAACTAATATACAACTAATAGAGATCAGTGGGAGCGTACATTCGATATCAACATCCATCCATTTTTCTACCTTTCCAAGTATGCGCTTCCGCATATGGGAAGTGGCTCAACCATAATAAACTGTGGGTCTATCAACGCATACATCGGTCGACCTGACCTCCTTGACTACACAGCAACCAAGGGTGCAATCGTTGCATTCACCAGGGGCTTGTCTAATCAGCAGGTTGGAAGAGGTATACGGGTGAATTGTGTTTGTCCTGGCCCGAGTAAGCTCATCCTCGTCTAGCAATTACACGAGAACTAACCGCTATCTAGTTTGGACGCCTCTGATCCCATCAACTATGACTAGTTCGGCAATGGATCAATTCAGCAGTGTGCCGATGGGCCGTCCGGGACAACCCAGTGAAGTGGCTACTTGTTTCGTCTTTCTAGCAAGCCAAGATAGCAGCTATATCTCGGGACAATCTTTGCATCCCAATGGAGGTGTTGTTGTCAATGGGTAACCAGGCAGGGGCGCTTGCCTGAGGGGACATCTCTCGATACAAGACGATCTCTTCTCAGCTTTAACTGGCCCTCAGCTGTTCAAATATAAGACATGTTGATCCACTCGTGTATATAATGAACGGGATGCCTTAACAACATACCGTAGTATGACAGAAGCAGTAAAAGAGTTCTAACGAACAAAGTAATACTCTGCAGATATAAATAGCAACTAGCCTGCCTTATTGACTAACATAGAAAATGATTTTAATTGTACATCTACCTTAATTGGGCCCTTGAGCTCGAATAGGACGATAGAATATATAACCAAAGACTTAGCGCCGGTACCACATGCGCGTGATTCTGGTGTGCCTCATCTTCTTCTGGAGTTGGAAGATTCCGTACATCAATGCCTCGGAGGTCGGTGGGCCTTCAGGTTAGCGGTCAGCAAACATTTAAAGAAAATCATCAAGGAGAATATATAGTCAGGGGTGTAAACGAACATCCAGGAACATAAACATCAACGGGCACGATTCTATCGCAACCACGAACAACGGAGTAGCTGTAATGATAGTAGCCACCACCATTTGCGCAGCTGCCCATGCTAACGACCCAACGTGGGTCGGGCATCTGATCATAAACCTGCCTAAGAGCGGGTGCCATCTTGTTCGTTAACGTCCCAGCGACGATCATGACATCTGACTGGCGGGGAGAGGCTCGAAAGATAATTCCTAGGCGATCTTGATCATATCTCGGAGTAGACAGATGCATCATCTCAACAGCGCAGCAAGCGAGACCAAAAGTCATAGGCCAAAGAGAGCTTTGACGTGCCCAGTTAGCAACTTGGTCCAAGGTAGTCCTAAGTACAACGTTAGACACGTATATAATTTTCAAATCCTCAGGGACACAAACAGCACATATTGCATCGCACCCTCTTTCTTCTCCTGGCTCGGCAGAGGTACCTCCTTCCGTATCTTTCCAGAGGCCGTCAGTGGTTGGCCGGAATGTCCTTGTTGCTCAAGCGCTGTGGCCGATTTGTTGGGGGTAGTTGACAAGCGTGCAACTAGTTGGATTCGAGGAATCGATGAGACCAAGCGTGGTCGTGCTGCTCAACGTTAGCGAAGCTCAAAAGACTCGCAAGCAGCGAATTGCTCACCATGAAGGGCGCCCGGAAGGGCGCGCGCAGTTAGAGGAAGCATGGCAGCTGTAGCTGGCTTTATTATGTGACTCCTTCAGAAGATCCTTGGGTTGAGTGCCAAAAGATGTTGCAACGACTTCAATGTCGCTTGCTAGTGGTAATTATGATACTAGAAGGCAAGCGTTGCGGCTCCGGACTTGGGGTTCTGCACTAGTGGTACACCAGCCTTTGCTTTACAGTTACAATACTGAAAGTTTACCAGAAAATAATGCAGTAAGGCTTATTTCACATACAATACCGTAAGGGGTATCGGTGTAAGTGTCTACCAGGTAGGTAAGTTACATTCTAAGCTACATAATTGGACTATTTTAATACCGTCTTGTACTCAATCTACCTTATCTACCACGGACCTACCCACTTACATACTACTAGTAGTACTAAATTGAGTTGTATGCAACAAGTTCATTCAGCCGATGTACAGTACTTTCCAACCACCTTTGCAGACGAGGAGCCAAATCTACCCAGGTGAAGTTTCCCTGAACTCGAATGCGTTCAGAAAGAAACACGATTTGTACCGCAGTGGATCATTCTAGATAAAGATATTTCTTCAAAATGTCAGGACCGAAAATTGCTTGCATCGGTATTATTGGAAAAGCTGTACGATAACTATGGCTCGTTTAAGATGGCATGCTAATGCTCTAGAAGGACAATCCTTTGCATATCTCGCTTTTCCCTCCTTATTTGAATTCTACTGTTGAATTCTCGTTTCTATTGAACTCTTGTCTTGATATCTTCGAGATTCGGCAGAAGCAAACCTCAGTTGATCAAGATCTAGGCCTCTTACACGCCGTCGATGAAAAGCTAGCAGCATATGGTTGGCTAACAACTACTGGAGTAAAATTACTGGTGATTGTTGATTTGATCGGACAACCTGTTCCAAGCAGCATCGAGAAACAGAAAGGGTCTCCGAGGACTAGTTCCAAAGATCCAGACCTGAAATCGGTAAGTCCTGCCACGGATAGTCTATGTCGAATACTCTTTTCTTGACTTCAACGGACTAGTAAATGTCCAAATTAACGATGGACTATCAGGTTTTTAGAGCCTTGCAGACAGCCTATATTCGGCTTTTTCAGAACCCGTTTTATTCTCCGGATGACCATGTCCCTACATTCAAAACTGCTGCCACTGCGTCGAATTCTTTGCAAATCACAGACCATAAATTCATTGCGGAGGTCAAGCATATTGGTGAAACATGGGGAGTAGATGCGACTATACTTTGAAGCGATCTCTATGGTAGAGACCGATTCTCTAGGTATGTCAAAGGAATAACTGTGGCTCATGATCATTTACAGGTCTAGAATACAGCAAGGTTGGGCATAACCTATAATAGTCAGTGAGACAGATTATATGCTAAAATGTTAATTCTATTAGCCCGGTTCAGCTAGTCCAAGTTAATATTGAAATGGCAAGAAGCGGTAAGTCGTCATTATCATGTTTGTGGCATTGACACGGATGAACTTCCAAGACCGCTAATTTATGGTACAATTGAAAAGCATTTATTTGCCTTGCCGTACTGTCGCTGCGTGTGTAAGTACGATCAAAATAATCAATTGACAACATAGAATCCACCAGCCTAAGCATACCTGTACCTGTGACGGGCTAATCACACGAAGCTTCGAATTCAGTCTGTTCGAGACTCCTGAAAATTTCTTCAAGCTCGCGAGTATCAGAGATTGCCCAAACACCACCTCCTTTAGCCGTTACCTTACCGACCTCCTTTCCAACTAAATTCCTGCCGACTTTCCCGGGCCCAATGCCAATCCAACGCTTTACCCCCCTCTCTTGATCTAAATACCTGATACTGTCCCACCATCGCACGGTCTCAACACACTGTTGTGAAAGCAGCCTCCTTAGTTCCTCTTCTGAGCGGAACGGAAGACCAGAAACATTTGAAACACACGGAATATGTGCTGGGAAGTTGAGTTTTATGTTGTCAAGAGCACGCGTCATATATTCTGCCGCAGGCATCATTATGGGACTGTGGAACGGGCTTTCACTGTTTATTCTCACTGCACGTGGATCGTGACCTCCAAACTGGCGAAGTTGAATGAGAAGAGTTCTTATCCTTTCAATGCTTCCGCTCAACACTATTTGGTTTTTAGAGTTGACATTTGCCACCATCACCTTCTCAATAGGCGGCGTTCCGTAATTTAAATCATCTTTCATACCAGTCGATGCAAGGCCCAGGAATTCCTGGATTGTTGCAAGCAGACCGTCAAGATGATCAGGTTCGCAGACAAGTGCCACCATTCCGTAATCCTCACCAGATTCCGTGGAGGCATTTCGAGTGCATTGAGCCATGATCTCTGCTCGCCGTCGGACTAGCTTTAAAGCGTCGCTGAAGTCAAGATAGCCTCCAGTAACCAGTGCGGAGAACTCCCCCAGGCTATGGCCAAGGGTGACATCCACACGAGATCTCGTATCAAACCCAAATTTTTGTTCTAAGATCCGAAGGATCAATATTGACGTCGCCATGATAGCAGGTTGGGAATTCTCGGTTTTATTCAGCTCAGAATTCGGTCCTTCGGCAATAACACGAGAAAGTCGAAACCCCAATACAGTATCCATTTCATCTAAGAAACTCCCAGCGATGTCTGGAAAGTTATTGATCCATGAAGACACCATTCCAACGCGCTGTACTCCATGACCTAACAAACCGTTAGCCAAAATGACAACCCGTGACAGGAGGCTGACTGGTCCAGACCTGGAAAGAAAAGAGCTGTGCGTAAGGTAGTCTTGTTAGAAACAGTATACCATCTTCTTTGGCATCTGATGAGGAATAGTGGGCGATATGATACATGATGCAGGGTACTTTTTATGTACAAAGTATAATTTAAGCTAGAGGTAGAGAACATCTTAAAAGCTGTCGAGAAGTGTAACCCTATGGTGTCTCATGGAAACACTAATAGTATAATATGTAAGCATCGTGATGCATAGGATAGACCCATATAAATAGCTCTCCATTATGTTGACCAAGGACTAATATCTAAGCAACAGCTAGTATCGCAATGTATAGCACGTGATTAAATGCATACAGAGACGGGAAAGCGCTGACCGCCTACATAATCAATTAACAAATTATCTCCATTAATGATACGACCTAATCAATACAAAAAGACTGTACTTTATTTGCCTAAAATATACCTCTCCTCTTCCTCTAAATCTCGGTTCTCTAATGGCTTAGGTACAATACGATTCTGCGGCGGCCATATTCACGTTTTCCTGAGTCTCTGACAATGTTTTTGCCAAAAGCCGCGATCTCGTCGGCATCCTCCTTGCGCAATCCTCGAAGACGCCAACGTACAAGCTCTGATGAACCTGTCAACCCTCCAAAAGCCAAAAGACAACGGTCCAGTTTGCGCCATGGTAGTTCAGATATTTGTTTAGAGGACCAAAGTGAGCTGCGCGAGCATGGAAATTGTTCAACTACACTTGCTTCCCAAGACCTCGACACCGCAGACAATGCTACTTTTCAAGAGAGCATGCCAATTAGAGGTCCAAAGAAGCTAGAGAGGCGAGGCGAAGCTGATGGGACCATTGTCCTCGTAAGTTGTGCTTGATCATACTCTGGCTCTCCTACATATGTTGAGAATAACAGGGTCGCTGATGCTATTACACATAGTCTAAAACTGACTTTTACAATGTTTTGCAATTACCGGCTCTGCCAGATCAGATCCGCGGACTACAATCAGGCAAGTCTGACTTATTTCCCCGCCATTCATATTGTTAACACGAACACGCAGGATCTTATAAATGCTTCTTTGGTGCAGGCAATGGCTACGCCTTAGCCATGACGCACTCCCATGCAATCATATGGCCATACTCAATTACTACTTCCTCGCCCTCACCCGCTGATGTGTTTACTATTTCCATACCCGAATCCTACAGGGAGCCAAATGGGCCACTTCCTCTTGGAATCCTACTATCTACTGTAACAGCTGGGATTCCAGGCCTTATGATCGTCGCTCCTGACACAGGGAATATCACATACTGGGAAACTGTCTCATGTGCTGCATCACTGGGCCTGGCCAGACAGAAGCAGAAGACCTTCCAGGGGTGCATACCTAATCTACTCTCAGGTGAGCACATCACAGATCTCGTGAATGGCGAGCCTTCTGGTATCATCGTTACATTATCGTCTGGGAGGGTTGCTCATATCACCGTTCGGGATCCACAAGGAAAGCCGACAGTGACTGTCAATTCTTGCGAAATACGTCCGGGCTTGGTAAGATTGGGTTTTTTGGTGGTATTAGAAACGCCTTGGGTGGAGGGTTTTCAAGGAAAGATCTAGCTGCCGTCAGAGCGGGTGAATCTCATCAACGTGGACAGCGAGACATTATAATCGCTACATCAGGCGGTCTTTTTGAAATCTGGGATACACATTGGAATAACGGGAGTATATTGAAGAAACAGTTTGATATTATAGATGACCTATGTCGTCACCTTGGTACGGAAGATTCGAACAGATCTGACGACTCCAACATCAAGATCTTGGACTTTTCACTCATGCCAGCTGAGTGCAATGTTCGTGAGCTACCAGGTAGCGTGTCGGTAGCATCCTGGCATCTCTCACTCATTGTAACTCAATCTGGGATGGGTTCGCAAAGCATGTCCCTTGTGCAAGTCAATCTAGCCGAGGAAGTCCATATCCTGTCTTCCCACCCTATTGATTTGCATGGGGTCTCGGCGGGTCTTGATTCAAAACCGAAATTATATCTCCCGAAGCCAGGTGATATGGCATTTGTTTTAGTGGATTACTCTGTTATACTCTTATCGTTGAGTTCAACCGAGCACCAGTCCGCGCAACCTCAACAACAGCGGGTGTTCCAGGACTCTATCAGTTTCCGCTCAGGAAAGGCCTTTGAAATTTTAGGCAGCGGCTTTGAAGACAAAAACAATGAGAACTCGTGCCCCGCATGTCTAATAATGGTCCGTGATTTTGGTACCATCCGCATTACAGCTTTACCACACTATGACTCGTGTTCCACCGCTGAATGTGTTCGAATCACTGCTAAGCAAAAGATCGAACAAGCCATATTCTATGGTACCATGCTCGGAAATCCACTGAATTTGAACAATAAGAGTAGCCTGGACTTCTCTGTCGCGGATATCGAGCAAGCCGCGTTGGATATTTGCAGAGAGTTGCTTCAGTCTACATCAAAGTTCATCCCAGCGACAGCAATCTCCTTAGAACAGAATCTACGATCGAGAGCAAAAGCTTTGGATGACCTGGCATACCTTTTGGTGCAACAAAATAAGGCATTGAGTCAACAAACCTGGTGGGAGTTATTGTGGGGCGCGGAGAAACTTGCGGCTCAGAGGGCTATGTGGAAGATAGAAGAAAGTTCTAGGAAATTGAAGGGCAAGGGACCTACGTTTCTTGCTCATGTTATCAATTCGATGAGTGACAAATTTAAAACACGAGTCGAAAAGCAAGACGGCGAGGTTGACCCCGTCCGCAACTGGTTTCTCCACGATACATTCCAGATGGAGCATGTTGTTCCATGGATTTTCAATGCCATTAAGCCAAAGAAAGGGCATTCGTCGAGACAGGGACGAAAGATGTCAGAACAAATACTAGAAGCAAGTGAGCTTTCTCTGGCGGTCTTGGAGACCGCATTCAGATACCGCGATGAGCACGCTAGTCGGTACGGTATCCGCGATGGATATCTCGAAGATGGCGTACTAGTTACCGGCTTCAAAGACCTACCGGAATTTTGGACGTCTCAGAATTTCAGTTATGTTGAAACAGGCCATTTGTTGGATCTAGAACTCGATAGTTGCAGGGCTTGGATTCAACAAGCAACATCTGTCACCGAAGCCCCCGAAAGCCTAACAGTGAAAAAAAATTGCGGGAAATTGTGCCAGACAACTCTATGTTCTAGGCCAAATGCATTGTGAGCGGGTTCGGTGGCTCTCTGCCCAAGAGGACCCAAAACTGGTCGATGAGGGCATCGCTACTGAGCACGCCCATGTTAAACAACGCAAGTGGCGACTCTTCAAACTTGCCGGTATTGGAAGATTGGAGGATGCAATTACGTTGGCGGAAAAGTTTCGAGACATGAGTGCATTGGTAGAGCTCATCATTGAGCTCCAAGATCAAACAAAGGGCGAAATTCTCCCCCAAAATTCCCGAAACGATGCATCAGATTCTATCAACTGTGAGTCCGATCAACTCAACAAAAAATATCCCTCTACTTTGAGAAATTCGGTGAATCATGGGCAAATGCATTTTTTTCACGGCAATTATCGATGCGTCAGTCGGGAATACTTTTCGCCATGAAGAAATTCCAACCTTTTATCACCCGATTCTTGCGTAAGGATGCAACCTATTCGAGGCTAGGCTGGATCAATGATGTAATTGGTGAAATTGACTACAGCGCCGCCGCTCAGTCGCTGGAGAAACTCGCAATAGGGGTGGAATCTGATTTATGGAGTCATCGTGTCGAACTGTCCCTAGCGAAGCTTGCCAAACTAGCAACGTGGGAAGAGACCAATATATCGAGTCATTCTGGTTTTCACAACGACATACGGCATTTAGAAGATCTCTCTGAAATAGATGCCGTCCAAGAACTCATTTACGCCTGTATTTCCCCCGCGTTGCAGGGTGCAATTGATCAAAGAGCCGAGGCCGACCTAGCAATTGACCACTTTGGAAAAAGGATTGCTGAGGATAGGCCTTCCCTGCATGAACTACTCAGTGAAACCCTCACCAAAGTTGTCACTAGGCAAATCATTGACATTTATGAACTGGTCGATATATTGACGTTAATGGATTCTGACCAAGCATCGGAATATAGCCAATCAGAATTATCCGGGAAAGAGTTCTACCTAGCCTTGCGTGTCATCCGTCTCGGAACTTATGCTCAGCAAGGTTCACTCAACCCTATTACTATGCAGAAGCTGGTGTGGCGACGGTGTATGATAAAAGACAACTGGGTGGCTACAGGACGGGCGGCCGAGAGCATGGACAATGAAAGCGAGCCCTTCATTTACGACACAGCCCTTTTCCGTACTCTGGGTCTATGTCTAAAGGACAGTAAGTACCCACGTTGGGTTCACTTACGGTCACTGGACGAACTAACACCTCTAGCAGGATACAACGAAGACGCTAGCTACGCATCTCTGTACATTCCAAGCTCTCCACATGATGTTTTTCTAAACGGATCGGACTCTGAAGTTCTCTCGGCACGCTTTCGTCCAGAGCAACGAACACGAATCATGCATGATCTTGAAAGGGAGAATGAAATGCTACATCAATATGTGGGGAAAGGAAGGCTTGACTTTTGGTTCAAAAATCTTCGCGCCTCTGCAGAAGAGTCCGCATCAACCCCAATCCATCCGACTTTTACTTTGGAGGAATCCAACCACAACAACCAGCAGGAGGAGCGGTCCCCACAACAAAGGGAGGGGTCTAGTAAAGCGCGATTAAATTGGCTTTAACCTTTGATTGGTCCCGGTTGCACAATGCTAAACAAGCTTAGACGGCTATGTCAGCGCGATTACCTATGCACTTGCAGCTATTATATGTAATTTGACCGAATACAGAGGCAGATTTTGTTATCACGGTCCTCGTATTTCTGCTAATTATCTACTTGTCCATCACTTGTTAAGACATTCTGAATTATGAATAGCATTTTCTCTTGTTCGCAATGAGTTTAAATTCTGCCGCACAAAATCTACTGCTAGGGATTCGGTGAAAATAGTTGCAGCATTCCCAACACACATATGGGATACAGTTCATGACCCTGTTATACCAGTGTCTTACCGAGGTTAGTAGCTCTGTCAACATTAATCACATTGTTTCCATCCACAGAACTCGCTTCATCTTGCACCCCATGGAAACTTTCTTCGAACACAGGCTCTGGTTCAATCGTCTCAAACTTCGTTTTAAAATCCGCTATTCCTTGAGTGCTACTATTCGAATGGCGCCGAGCGTTTGTGAATGTGTAATCATAGTCGTGGACTTCGTCGCCCGACCGACCCCTAAGTATACAGTTAGTGCGTCATTCAGTTTAGTGCTCTGCAATCAGCTCCTGATACTGCGGATGAGCAGTACTAAAACTCAACTGGAGAGCGGGGATGGGCTGAAAAAGATTCCTCACCAGTTCCTCTTCCCCCCGCCATCTTTTTTTGTCTTTCGGGGATCAGCATCAACGGGGCCAGACTTTGCAAGGTAGCGAGGAAGATGCTCTTGAGATACAGCTATTCCATCATGAAGTATGGAATAGTCACGATCATTTACTTTATGGGAGCGCGTCACTGGATACAGGTCAGCGATATAGATAGGTTCAAGAATAAATAATATTAGAACGTCCAGTACAAGCTTCGAAGGCGAGGATATGGAAAACTCACTTGTAAAAACGTTTGCCTATGTTTTAAATATCAACACACTCACCGGAACAAGGTGAGATACCTGTAATATAGGAGAGTATTAGCGGGGTCAAGAGTAGACTGCAAAGCAATAACAGGATGACTTCACACAATAACCCTCCACCCTGGTGAGTAATCAGGCCCACTCGCGATACAGGTTCGAGGGGTATCCAACAAAATGTGTCATGGACAGTGTTTGAAAATACAAAGAGCATCCAAGGGAGTATCAGATACTGCCGCATACAACCACATCAAGTTTATGCACGCTAAGGTTTCCTAGAAGAACCATCTCAATAACAGGAGGTTATGTACATACCTTAATGGCCTATTGTGACGGGGTCAGGATTCACCAATAATCCCGAGTGTTGGGGGTGATAGTATGCGATCAGTGGGCTCTTGTACAGTTGGTTGCTGCTGGCTGTAGGTAGATCTCAGTGATATTCGCATTCATCAGACAAGAAGAGTTGTAATATCAATCAAGCCTTGGATTGATAGCACAGCAAATGCCAACAGTCAAGTGATGGGAGGAGGAAGATTATCTAACCCGACGTGGCCTATAACGTACTTGACTTGTTGTTGTCCACTGAGCAGTGAGCAAGCTAAGCCGAGACGGGGACTCATGACCTCATGGTTGCTCAATACTAGTACAGATGCGGGGTTCGCGATTGCTGACTATCCAGATTCCTTGTGGGGTAAAGGTTCGAAGCCTTATTGCCGCCCCACAATGTTATTACTATCCTTTCACAAGTGTTAAGAGGCAGCCCAAGGGTGCAGTTTAGTGGCATTTGTACTCTGTATACTTCTTTCAATTGAGATTGAAGCTGTCTAGAACTAAGCTACATAATTGCCATTATGTAAAGCAGCTACAGTACTGAGAAACCCCGTTAGTTGCAACCCCGTTATCTGCAATACCCCGTTAGTTGCAAGCGGGACGGCGGCCACATTCGATTACTCATACAAATTTACAGGAACCCCGATAACCTGGAACTTGCAAGTACACTTTCAACTGTCTATATAAATTTACAAGTAACGGGGTATTGAAACTTTATTTCAATATTATTTTTCTGTATTTAGACTAAAACACGTGACTATGAGAAGTAACCTTTCCTAAAACAGTAATTCCTATACACTACGCGAAGGCGGTGAGAAAATAGACTAATAGAAGCTCCCCTCGTTAGCTGCAATACCCCGTTAGTTGCAAGGCAAATTCCCGGCTACTATCGTTGCAATTAACGGGGTTTCTCAGTAGTCGATGAGTATAACTTATTCTATAATGTTGATTGTTGCGCAATAACATAACCGATAAACGAGTGGGCCAGACAATCGGGCGGGCCACCACACCGCTATATTAAAATTAAAATCGATT